AGCAGGAAGAAGTCTGGGCTGACACCGCTTTGCACATGGGCGAGGGGGGGAGCAACAAGCCAGGGCAGGCTGGATGCAAAGCCTAGGCCTTGGTTTATAAAGGAAGACTGGTTGCAACTGGAAGGGCCAGTTTATTAGAGAAACCTCACATTGCAGAGAATTCACAACACTTTGGAAAGGGTCCAGGCCTGCTGAGGGGCCCAGTCTTCTGACGCGGCACAGATCTACGTCCCCCAGCTCCAACCCCAGCAGGTGCCACAAAGGGAAGGGTTAACTGTAACACAGCTTATGTTTACAAGCAGCCCGAGAGAGCCAGTATTAAAGTTCAAAAAAGCCTCCCCGTTAGACAACGGTTAAAACAAAAATGGTTTAAAAAGTTTAAAAGCTCCGTGTTCTTGGCTGCAGCATAATGGGGAGGCAAAGGTCTACAACACACACAGGTCTCTGTGGGTCTCGGCACTCGGGTCTGCTCTACCAGTGAAGGCCGGAGGGGGGGGTCTTCTCGTCTTTGTTGCTTTCCAGGGAAAAGGGTGGGATTCGGACATCAAAGTGGGAGCCATCAGGCCTCTCAAATCGAAAAGTACCCCTGCAAAATAACGGCAGAGATCACGCTGAGGCCAGGGGCAAACACAGCTAGGAATCACCAGCAAGGAGGTAAGACAGGAGCTCTTCCATATCCTGCGCTGGGACTCTGGGGCTGCATTTGCAAGGCCGGTCCAGCAGCAAGTCCATCGGTCCAGCAGCAAGGACATGTGCCTGCCAAGATGACTCATTTATTGGAAGACTCCTGGGCGGTTTACATCACATCTCTAATAGACGTTTCCAGAATAAAGATGTCATGATTGGAGCCTCCAGAAGGTAAGCACACTCCACGCGTCTGCGGCAGTGTTTACCTAACTCCCACCCCACAGGAGACAGAACCATCTCAGCTATTTTTACAAACTGTTTACACGTAAATTCAGATTCGTGTTTCTTGGCAGAAGCTCCGCTGGGTAAGAAGTCTGCAACAATATGAAATCCCATCACAGGTGTAATTTGGAATAGCTTCTGCTTTGCATTTCAGAAAGGGCATTTCAGAACTGAATCTGCCTGTCCTTGTACAAACAATTTGTTTACTGCCCTGAACTACAGACGACTGTACTGCAGAACATGACATGGCCAAGAGGATCGTGGAGATAAACTAACAGCTTCTCGTGACAGAGAGGACACAATTGAACACCAGAAGTCAAGCTGAGCAGCTTCTGAGCTGCAGAACCTTTGTCTCTGTCTCTTCAGCATGCATGCAGAGGGAAAAACTACTAATCAAGCTGGTTTTACTCCCCAGGGCATGCATTCAGGCAATTCAAAATGCATTAAGATGGAAAACAAGGGTATATCCTACAGGCAAAGAGCTGCTCTCTTGCTTTTCCCAGCTCAAAGGCAGTTCCAAGGCAGCTTAACTCAAACAGATTTACTCAAAAAATGCAAGCCAGAACGACCTGTCATACAGAAGGCAAGAGGTGGCCGCGCATTTCTTGCCCACGCAGAGATGACGCTAAATGTGCTAACCCAGCTGAAATGCAAATCAGAGGGGAAACTGCTTTAACCCTGCGGCACAGGAAAAGAACAACTCAGCTGAGCACTTTCCTACCTGCACCTACAGAAGAGGAGACTTGAACACCAGTTAGACTGAAGGCCTTATCTGGCCTAAACGGGGAATAACCCCACGTGCCAATTCCTTGTGGACACAGAACTGCATAGCTTCACTCCGGGACGGAATCGAAGCCCGGTCCTCTCCAAAGACAGAGGATACCAGTGCACACATCCCTGCAGCCTAGGGAAACACCAGCATGAAGCCTTGCCTCTTGCATCAGGACTGAAAGGGACAGAATCCGAGTATAGCAGATGACAACAGAGAACTGCTTCATGCCTTTTCAAATCCAGTCTAGCACAGACCAGAGGAGGAGGATAAGTTAGCCTGGAACCTCTCTTGATAAGAAGATCTCTTGATTCTCTGCACCACTAACTGCAACACTGCTAAAGAGAAGCTCATAAAAATTTAAACTATCAAATATGTCCAGTCCAGTCCACTTCCACCCACCTTTCAGCCATAACTCCAGACTGCAGACCGCGTCCCAGCTCAGCGCTGTGGGGTCCTATATCTAAACCACTACTGCAGTAATAAGTGCTTCTTACCACATGTGACCACTGGATGCCTGCAGGGAGACGTGACTGCTGTACTGAAATGCCGGCTGCTCTTTGGATAAAACTGGCTCCTGAGAAGACAAGAAGAGACCGCTCTGCATCAGCAACGGATCTTAACATTTCTCCACCGACAGGCATCAACCGGAAATTTATATAGCGAGAAGAAATACTGAGTGATCCACACCTGAGCATCGCTGCCAATTACACAGCAAACGACTCGCCCAGTGAGTAGTGCCAGAATCACGTATTATTCCCGTTTTCCCATTACCAGTCATTTAGGATCATTCTCTAATACTCAGCGTGAAGTTTCGGTTCATGCATACTAACAACAGATGAAAAGCTCATGTGATTTTTTTTTTTTTCCCCACTGCCAGTTCCCTATTCCATCTATTTCTACTGCCCATGAAGCAATTTACTGGCAAATCAATCCAAGCAAGAAGACTCCAGCAAAGGGCTGCGCTTCCCAAAAGAAGCTACACGATACCTACCCTTCCTACAACGCCACGGCCCCTGACCGTTTCCAAGGTGCCAGACAAGCTAAATATCCTCCAGTGCCGTTCTCGGAGTTGTACCACTTCGCTGTCAAGGTTCTCCAAGCGAATACAGTAGCGCCACTAGACAGAAGAAAGACTGTTATCAAGAACTGGAATCAGCTGCAAACAGTTGATAATCCATAGCCGATACTGGGAAACAACTGCCAGGCAAGGGCTTACTCTCCCTCAGAGCTTATCACACAGCAATGATGCCACAGCAAACAAACT